CTTCTCCTCTCTGTCAACGCTCTCTGGTTTCATTTAAAAGAGTCAATCATCAGATAATGTCCCAAGATCTTCAGGGTGGATACAGCTCGCTCAGGCCGAGGGCCTATCCATGTCATCATTTACCCAGAATGCTTTGTGTGTAAATAAAATGGCTCCGTCCGTGTTAAGATATATTTTAAAAAATTATAAAAACAACAGCCTACAGTATTTTTACAGTGTTTATTTCACAGTTAAAATATATGTTTATCAAATAAAGTCTAGTGTTACAAGTAATCGGGGATCCCTTTAAAAACACGTTTGACATGAAGTAACTCAAAGATAAAGAGAAACAAAAACATCAGTATCTCCAGCCTTTTCCCTCTTGACAGTGGTCTACARATAGCTTTCACAATGTCTGATCATGACCTTTTAGTCCTTTTCCAGCACCCAGACAGACTGCTGTTATAATACAGGATGTGACTGCAGCTAAACATTAGCAGCCAGTGAGTTTCGGCTCATATTTCAAACCATGGCTAAGTAAACAGGAGTGTTTACATGGAGCAGAAAGAGGTAAGGTAACGTCACTGCAGCAGCACTGTTGTTATTRATCTGAGGCACATCATGCTAGTTTACTAACATGACTCCACAACTGCATCATACAAATAAAAAAATTGTATTGTAAAGTTTTACATCCCTAAGAATACAGAAGAAGTGAAGGTTTTGTCATGAAGGTTACTGCATCGTGTGCACAGATCCACAGTAATGCAAGATTGGTTTTAATCTCATGAACAACTCCATGTTTTGAGATTTCCTTGAAAAGTGTTTCAGAAAATGAYACTCAGATCATGAGACACATTTCCATTTTACATCATTCTCAAACAAAACAAAAATATCTCCCTTCGTCATAATTTACAACCACAACAACRTCTTACAGTGTTTAAAGTGGCGTAAACTACTATCACTCCAGATTTTAGCTCAGTATCTGTAAAACTGAGTTGCAGCCATTTATGGTTTCTATGAAGGATTAGCTCTGGCAGCCATTTTGAGTGGGATTGACTCCAAAAACTAGTTAGTCCATCCGATAGTTCATTCCTGAAAGRTTCATTAACATCCGTGCAGTGGTTCATAAGTGTTTTCCTAAAAGGCAGACAAATGAAAATRCAAGCACAAACACAGACACAGACAWGATTGCTCRCMACCATGTGYATACCRWGCATGTAAGAYATTTATATGAATTATAARGTCACTCCTCATRCCTCATGAAATAAACCTGGAAAAAGACAAACTTCTTAGTGATGACCAGAGTCACACGTCTGCAGATTAAATGCTACAGCATTTATGTTTGTATTGCTTTTAATAAAGTGCCCACTATCTTTCATGCACRTGTTTAACTCATCTTTTGTTGAAAAATTACAAAGATGTAGCTGTTGCTCTAACCTTAAAACAAATATCTTGATCTCAGAATATTTGTTGTGAAAGACTTTCAGATAAGACCAAAACCCAGCTTGATGTCTGTAAAATGAACTGATTTATAACCAGTTTTGWGTTTTCTAACAGTGGTGGCCATCTTGAATCGGKTTGACTCCAAAGGTTAATTAGTTCTAGATGTTCATTCTGTGATGAGTTTCTGTCCTGTGATTCATGAGATATTTTGCTAACAGACAAACAGGATTGACTCCAACAGTRAAACCTGCATCACCACTGAGCTGCCACAGCCCCATGTTTCTAACCTTTTAAAACCCTGAAACCGACTCGTTGTTTCCCTCTTGTGGTCACACTAAACAGTTCCTCCTCTGTTACATTCTCTCAACCTGGAAAAGAAAAACAAACTCAAAGTTTGTAAAGATCTTTTTATATAAAGTACCTGTAACAGTTGATCACATTATTCATATTTCTCACATACATGTTCATACATCCACATAGTAACAGATTGCAGCATTAGCACTCTAGTAACACTAGTAGCTTTGACTTTTGTTCAACAAAGATTCTTGTCTTTACACGAGTCACAAATGAAGAAGAAAGCAAAACCCAACCAACTTCATCATTATTAGAAGATTACACAATAGTTTTCTTTTGTTTCATATGTGTTGCAAGATAAAATATGGCACATTGTAATGAGYTGATTTTGGATGAAAGTGTGAACATGAGAGGGAACAACCAACGAATACTTTCCTTAACAACCTTAGGAAAATAGTCTTGTTTCCTCACCTTTATTCTTTTTGTTAGCAGCTGATGTGGCTGGAGCAGTCACGTGCAAAAATAGGGAATAAATGTTGAGAGATGGTTTTCTTTTGTTCTACTGAAATACGTGACTTTTAAAAAGTTTTGTTTGACATGTACACGGCAGTGACTCATGATGTYATGGTTTTTGGTGKGTGTGTGCGTGTAYGTGTTTTYGTTACCTGTTGGGGACAATTGCTGACCATTTTCCCAGTACATACAGCATTGCGAGGACCTACTAAGACCAAGCCCAATCCCATTTGGGGAAAATACTGTTGGTGGGTCAGGGTTCTGGTTTAGGACTAACTGGTGAACTGAGTTTGGGTAAGTTTTAGGGTCAGGTATGTACTGGGGTGGTTAGGTTTAGGGTAAGAGGTCAGGGTTAGGCTGTAGAAATGTCACCTAAATAGATGGAAGTAAATGCAAAATCTCCA